CTCAAGATATTTCTGAATATTATCTGTTCCTGAGACCAGGATCTTATGCTATTAATAAAGTGTTTTCATAATACATCTTACCTACTCCTGGTAACATAAACACAATAACACACTATTACCCTTATGTTACAGACATAACAAGACTCAAGGAAATTACATAACTCTCAAAATTATGTACCTGCTAAATACCATCGAGGACTGGTACAAAACCTTTGGAAAGGAGGGCATCATGTCTTCAAGAAGATTGGGAAACAGGCCTTGAATAGGCCTAAAGATTCACTGTGCTCTACTCCTAAACTGTTATGAAGTGTAGGATGGACTCGTAAGTAGGATAAAAGTTTGAATATTGCAGATCTGGAAGACCTGGGTAAAAGCAATAAGAATGGTGCCTTATGGATGAGTTAGAAACATATTACCCAAAATAGCCACAGTAGCTGCTATCATTAGCAGGAGACTTCATGTGGATACTTTGTTAGAGACTCTGGAAGAGCGTCACTGCACTGAGCTCTGGCCAAAACATTCATCTGTGCTGTGCAAATGCACAGAGAATGAGGGTCCAGAACCAAACAGATGGATTTGTGCTGCTGGGCTTTGGAAGGAGCTGACTGCATTCAGAAAGGCACCTGGGATGCCATACTCATCAGAAAGAGATATGTGCCTACGGAAAAAAAGATGCTACCTAACCATCTCAGAACTAGAGGTACATGACGCCTACTTCAGAAGAGCAGAATCTTTGAGGGAGGTTAGGAAAATGCTTGTCCTAGTTTATTGCTTCAGGGATCATGCTTGAATTCAGCAATATGTTGGAGAAAAGTGGGAAGTAGAACAATACAGCCTAAAGACAATTGGGCAAATTAGAATCCAAAGCCCAGACCAGAAGCAAAGAATTGCTAAAGGGACTGAGAAAGCTGCCGAGCCTGGCTTTTGTCCCAGCCAGATCTAGTCCACACCAGTGTCGAGGCAGCCTGATCTTGTAGTCACACCACATAGCTCAAGTCAGATTCAAAGCAAAAGAGCCTGACTAATCCTGCCTCTATTTCTCTGGATTCTAGAACTACCACAGCAGCAACGCCAAAGGCCATGATTCCTTCCTAGTGATGGTTCTGCGCTGTTCCCACTACCCGTTACTTTCTAAATATCCAAAGCTCTTCTGTGCTCATGTCAAAGCAGCTACATGGGAAAGAATGAGGCATCATTTTCCTGACTGGGTGAAAACTGGAACAAAGAGTCTGGATACAGAAGCCAGGACTGCGACAAGGTGCACGCCTGCTTAAAGGGGAGGGTGGGGAAGGCAGTGAACTGAAGCTGAACCCAGTGGCATGCTGAGCAGCAGAAGGCTGTGGATGTCTATAAATACAGAAGAGCCCCTGGGGCAACACTGATAGTGTAAGGAAAGCTGTGTGAGCCCCAGGAGCCAGCTGCCCTGCTTGGAGCTACCACCTTCCCCGACTCCTCAATGCCTTGTGAAGTAGTTGTCCCTAGCCTTGGATGTCCAAGGTGGACCAGGATTCCTCTTATAGCCATGTAAGCAAAAGCATGGAAGGTTCAGACTACGAGGAGAAATGGCCTCGGCCCCTCCCACTGTTACACAATGGGCACTGACACCATTTACCAAAAAAGTCTGAAGAAATACATAAAAATTATTTCTATGAGTTTCTTCCCAAAGAGGAAGCTACCCAAGCAAAAAGTCCAGAAGACACTCCTTGAATATAACTGAATGCATTTGTTGAGCGATTACTGTCAGCTACCATTCAGGCACTCACGTATCTCACTGGATTTTTTCATTATTTCTGTTTTACAGACATCAAAATGGGCTGCACTATTTTTCCAATTCTTCAGTAGGAAAAATAAGGAACTTTTTACTAAATAATAGTGAGTTCAGGCCGGGTGTTGGTGGCGCACACCTTTAATACCAGCACTTGGGAGGCAGAGGCAGGCGGGTCTCTTTGACTTCAAGCCCAGCCTGGTCTACAAAAGCTAGTTCCAGGACAGCCTGTTTCAGGGGTGGGAGTGGTGGGGGGGAGTTCATGATAATGAACCAAAAGGAGGGAAGCATAGGGTGAGTCAGTCTGAATGATTACACTATCATGTATGTTAACGAAAGAAAATGAAACAATAAATATATGTTTTAGGTTTCACTCACTGGTCAGTAGTGTTTCAGTCTGTCCTCTACTAAATCAAATAGGTTTTTAACTACCAAAAAAAAATCTTTTCAATCCTAGCAGATTACTTGTGTTTTAGAAGCTGTATACAGTTAAGTACATGCTCTGAATTTCATCTGTGTTGTAAGTATTTTCTCCATTACTTTTTAAAGTTTAGAAAGAACTGAACCAATAATAAAGCAAGTCCTGGTATCTAGAACTTGCTGGCCTCTACAGTGTGAACACTGCCTTTGTAGCAGAGTTCAGCTGCTTACTGGAAGCCACTGGAATCAACATTGGGACCCGGTGCACGAGGGGACCAGAAACAGACCCATTTTATAGTATTTACACTCTCACACACAGGTGGAAATCACCACAAGTGCACAGATTATAGTAAACTGTCACCAACCAAGTAGGAAGTCCTTCATGTTGAGTATTGCCATAGTCTTTTACTATATTTAATTGAATGCTAATGGGATTTAACAGAAGACGCAAATAACACACTGCTGGCAGAGTCTCCCCTCACAGTTGGATCTTGTGAGCAGACGAGAGCTGACTCTGAGACACCAGTGGAAACTAAACAATCCTTGACTTAAGTGGCTCCATGCCATTCAGCTATCTGTCATGCTGTAGCTGGCATAGCCAAAGCAGTCTCTGTCATGGAGTCCTATGTCTATATTTAAAGCTAAGATGATTTACATCTATCTAGGCTTTGCATGAGGATATTACAGGCCAGCTCCAACTACAGTCAACCTAAGATTCTTGCTTATTAGAAGAGCAATGACAACTATATAATTCCTTACTTTCAATGCTTATTCAAAGAGCATTACATAGTCCTTAGGTATATTAAGTGATTAAGCCCTAAGACACAAGAGTAACTGTGCAAACTTGCAGATTAAGAACAAGCACCTGTAGAAAGCCAAAAGCGTGCCACCCCATGATTTATGATCATGTACCTTGGAGGCACGTGTAACTCATTGCTGTAGGATCTCTCAAAGCCAAATCTTGCCTATGATATTTAAAGAGTTGGGTAACACAAAGGCCAATAATACCACATTTGAAACAAACTAATCATATCCTATGCTTCAGGGTATAGGCTGATCATTTGAGAAGCCAAAAAAAGAACTGCCTGACGTTCCCATTTGCGTCCTGCCCTGTGTGTAGAGCATTGCACAAATGAGAGGAGAATGATGGAGGCAAGTTCAGCTTCCTCTGCAGTCCGGGATCTACCGAGAGGACAAAGTGTTGAAGAAGGAGCAATCTTAACTCATTCCTTGTACCTCACATCCAAATACCTTCTCCAAAAGCTTGGTGGCTGAGACTTGCCCATGTCTAGTTTCCACACTGTCTGTAGTGCATGAAAAGGCAGCTCACCCTTCTGGAGAAAGAGCACCATGGCAGCCAGCGACTCCTCAAGGCAACATATGAGCATGTACAACTACATGAGTACATGAGTAGTACCTCTATGTACTACTACTGATACAATGATTTAAAGCAAACAAAACCTCTACCTGTTGTCTGAGTTTTTTTTAAGAAACTTGACATTTAACTGCCATCATTGCAGGTACACATGCTGATTAAAACAAATTGTTCGTAAGATGAATTACAACAGCCAGCTCAAGCAATGGCACTGCCAGCCATGGAACAACCTTTTCTTCAAAAATAAATCAACAGGCATATAAAACCCAAGATACCTCTGTTGACAGCAGTGTTCCCAGTAACAGTAGAAGCATAAAACCACAGCAGAAACATTCAAAAATAGATTCTCTTTCTCTCTTGTGAATATGCTTTATTGAAAGCATTCATCCCTTAATTATTTAATACACTGTTTTGGTTTAAAAACATGGAATTCTGTTTATAGTAATCTATCTTCAAACCATTGGCTTTGAATGGTAAGTGAGAAAAATGGCATTCCTGGAAATGGATTGACTGGGATCACATTCATTTTGTATAATGATTTTAACCTGCCTTGTGTCTGAGAACATATTCTATAATATTATGAAAGTGCAGGTGACTACACCGGGTTACAATTTCCCTCACTCTCTTGGTACTAAGAAGACGTGATGGTGGTAGAGTCTAGGGCTCATTCTACCAACTCAATTCTTGCTTGACTCTGCCTACTACACCTTCATTTCCCACACTTCACAGAAACTTGTTTCCTCTTCTCAAACTGCACCCAAACATAAAATTTATTTCCATCGATGGGAATGATGCCAAAGATAGACACTTTGCAAGAAGTTGTGGTAAACACAATAAAATAAATGTAACAAGAACATGGTACCTTTCCTATTGTTACATAATGAGTTAATAATCCATCTTGAGTAATTATATTTCCATCTGAATATGATTATTATTTATCATGAAATCAACTGCCTTTTCAGGTGGCAAAAATAATTTTGAGTCATACACCAGTAAGATGAACACTAATAGATTAGACACAAACAGCCATCTTAAAGCAAAATGTTGTTATGTGATATTGCAAAGCATTTATCATATCTTATTAGATACTCCTAGTTGTTGTAAGACATAATCCCTGAGGCACTCAATATTTATTGTCTGCAACCTTGCTGATTCATCTGAAATCCTCAGTTGTTTCACCGAAGAGTTATTAACAAGCCACTTTAGTCAATCAGCACAGACACACATGAAGAGGCCAGGCACTGTGGCTTTGTAACCTACAGCAACAGTGAAACTTTTCCACTAAGATTGCACACCTGCCCAATTGTATAAAAAGGATCATGAAATGACTGTGGCACATGACCTTGATATATTAAGAGGAGGGAAGAAGGATTCCAAGGGATGGAGTAAAAGGTGAGTGGCACTTGAAGAGACAGCAGCAGCCAGCTGGCTTTGCATTACCATTATCAGGGTTGGTGAACATCCTACTTGCACTGGAGACAGTTTTCCCGATGTCAGCCAGGGACCGAAGGTTGGACTTCTTGGTTTGATGCCGGTGTTTCCGGAGCAAAGTATATGTGACCTTATCCTTAAGGTCAGGCTTCAATAGTCCTGCCTCGATCTGGTGGTCAGCAATCATCTCTGATAGAAAGCAAAGTGACACAAATATCAGACATCAAACCATGAAGCTAACTGTCAACTCTAACTTTGTGGATGTCACCTCACCACCAAATCTAACATCATACATTACTCCAACTTTCCACTTTATATGACGGGACAGAATGCTGGCATTAATGAGAGGGTTATAAACATTCTAGCATTAACTGTCATTAGAAAGGAAGAACTGTCCTTACTTCTTTTTATTTTTTTAATAGCCCAGTTATGGTAAGTTCCCCTAAAACAAAGTTTCCATGAGAAACACAATTAGTAAGTAATTTTCATTTTTCAATTTAAAAAAGTGAGGTTCAAATCTTCATGCCTGTAGTACATAACATCAAAGGTATAAAAAAAGAAGAATGAAAGAAAGAGAAGCTGTATATTGTAAAATCATGAGGAATGATTTTTAAAGTCTTATCTCCTCAGTTCTTCTAAGTTATGTTTTCTTTAAAACACCTTTTCCAATTTCAGAACAACTAATGAAGGAAAGATTAAGCTATGAAATTATACACTAATCTTTTCAGAGGCATTAGATTTAATTTTCCCAGTCAACTCCAATTAAAACCTTGTTTTCAAATACAGCTGGACTAACCTGTTTTAGAAAATTTTAAATCTTAGTCTTACTACAAAAAAATGTTTCTATTCATTCTTTACTGTTTTAACTTTAAAAAGACAATGGCTTTGGGGTCTGGAGAGATGGCTCAGGTGGTACAGTCCTTCACCATGCAAGCAGGAGAGCATGAGTTTGGATCCACAGCACCCACATAAAAAGCCAGGTGCCGTGCTCTCCACCTGTAACCTTGTACAGAGGGGAATGTGGTGAAGAAAGTCAAAGCCCAGGAGTCCACGGGTTCCATGAGAGATGTCATCTCAAAATATAAGGTGGCTAGCAATTAGAAAAGACACCCACCACAACTCTGGCCTACACTCACGCAGGTACACACATCCCACACATGCTCACACACACACCAAATCTTATTTCAGTAGAAAACAAGCCTCCTTTCTCATAGGCAAGCACATTCGCAGCCACAGGTAGCCTGAGCATGCTATTCCTATCTCTGCCTCCATTCGGGGTGACACAGGGCAGAATCTGTCTGAGGTGTGCAAGGAGAAGCACTTCATTGCACACCTTCCTCCTAGGAAACTCCTCAGGGGAGGGCAGTTCAAAAAGGAGCCTGTTCTTATGCAAAAGTCTGGCAGCAAATTCGGTGGGTGGAAGGACAACAGACAGCCTTAAGGAACCCTGCACTGAAGAGAAGGGGCAGGTGGCCCCAGGACCTTGCTAGCGACTCATGGCACTATTATCGTTGGTCCATCTGTAGAGCAAGCACTCAGCCTGACAGTCTACATCTAGAAGCCAGCAATTTACACAGTGGACAGTCGGCCATTTGTAAGCCAAGAAGAGGCTAAATCAAGGGTTTTCCATCATTTGCCTGGCACAGAGGCCATGCATGTACAGACATTAACCACTTGGTAAGGGACCTGGAGGAGGCAGGAAGTTTCTCTTGTGAAGTGTTTTGGTTTGGAAGTGGCCTTCAGCTTTGGGTATTTTTAACCACACAAACCCCACTCAGTAAAAGCCTGAGAATGACCCTGGAAGTACAATTAGCTCTCTGTCCCACAGTTCAGTAACTAAGTGCCTTCAGACACAACCCTCTACTTTCCCTGTAAGTCCCATTCTGAAAGTCCATTTACAGAAGAACCACAAAAATAAACAGCCCCAGCACATCTGCTGCAAGTGTTATCAGACTCTCATTCCAATGCCAGGGCTGTGGGTTAAAGTGTTTCTTATCTAGCCTTCCTGGCAAGGCTTCTCAATGCATATGCATGCACAGCCGGCCCTCTGTACTAATGCCTGGGAATCACCAGTTAGGCAGGTTACAACAACTGTGTAGCTAAAGGCCTTCATTAAGCTTCCATAAAAATGGCCCACATAACAGGATCTCTTTAAGCATCGACTAAAAAACCTTTCAAAGGAAAGTGGGGGGCAGTAACTTTTATAACCACACTGAAATTAAGTGTTCAGTGTTCAGCTCCCACAGACACTACCAACTGAGAGAAAATGAGCCAAGTCTAGATGACAGCAACTGAAGGAGACCTTGGGGAGCATCAAGTTCAGCTCTTGTTACACAGGTGAGAAAAAAGAGTAAGAAGTGACTGCCCCCCCCCGTACAGACTAATGAGAGGCAGAACCCCGACTAAAATTGAGACCTTTCTCCATTTGACACACTTATGCCCACCAGGCACACTTATGCATGACTATAATGCTAACTAACACTCTGGACGCTTAAGCAGAGGGACTCTGAGTTCCTGGCAGCATGAGCTACAAAGGGAGTTCAAAACCAGCTCGACCCTCAAAAGAGTCAAAAATAATTTATAAAAAAAAAAAAAAGACTAGGCAGAGAGAGAAGCGACCCATGATTCAGTAAAGGGACACCCAAGGCCAACTAAATATTTCTTAACTTCAAAATTAACAATTATGTAAATAAATATATGTGAGTGCGCCTAATAAAGACATTGGTTAGGTCTATTCAAATCATCTATCCCAGTGTGAAAGATTTCACGCCATAGCCAATCCCCTGAGTGACAGTGCTAAGACATTTGGCAAAAGCATACCAAAACCATTCAATATGTTCAAAATTTTTGGATCTTCTACAACTAGAATTCTATACTAATCAAACAATTTTGCAAAGCTATAACAAAAATTTGCACTTATCTTTATAATAAAAACTTAAAGGCCACCCAAATACCTCATAGATTATTTTACAGCTATTCTGTTTTATTTATAGAACAACAGGAAAATATTGATACTTATGTTTTTATCTTTAAGCAAATAAAAATTAAAATGATGAACCATGGGACTGGAGAGATGGCTCAGCAGATAAGAGTGTGTGCTCTGCAAGCACGAGGACCTGAGTTCACGTTCTGGCACCCAGGTAAAAAGCCTAGCATGACTATTCATGCCTAAAACCCCAACATTGTAAGGCAGACACAGCCAGACCTTGTGAGCTCACTAGCCATTCATCCTAGATCATCCAGATAGGGAACTCTTCAGATTCAGTGGGGGAGCTTGTCTCAAGGCAATAAGACCAAGATTGATGAAGAAGACACACAACCCTGGCATCCACCAGTGCATACACCCATATCCTCACACACACACACATGCAACACACACACACACACACACACATACACACACACATACATACACAGTACTGTAATTCCATTTTGTGAAGAAGTACCGTAATTCCATTTCATGTGCATAAACAGAGTTACCCAGAAAAAAAAATGCTGAGATGATAGGCAAAATTAGATTAGGGAATATTTCACTTCTATGGTAAAATCAGGGAAGGTTTTATATTCATAGTAAAAATTCTATGGATTATTTTTAAATGAGCATATATTAATCTTATGATTATAAAGAACAATAAATATAAATTTTAAAATATAAAAGGCAGGGTTCTTTTAAGAAAAAGAAATCAACATACATCAGGACTCACACATCTGCAGACAACCAGAGCTCAGGGTGTATATATGTGTGTGTGTATATATGTGTATATGTGTATAAATACATGAGCTCCAAAAATAGAACTACATTTTCTCATCCATTTCGCATTGTGCTAAATACCTAAAATGGATTACAGCTTTTTTAAACTTAAGAGTAGAAGAAAATTCCATGAACTTGAGTTCATGTATGAATGACAACCTTTACATGTAGGATTACAATGGTGATGCTAATAATAAACCTATTAAAATAACTCTTGAAAACTATGTCTTGTCTTCTGTAATGTTTCAAAGACAATTTTTATTAAAGTACAGTAGTGATCTCTCTCACACACACACACACATACACATACACACACACACACACACACACAGCACAGAGATCCTGAAAAAAATCAGAAGTAAGCAAATTTTAATGTAAAAATGTCATTTGCCAATGACCAGCAGTGATCTTCCTCTCAGGGGCAGATGAGGAGAAACAATAGCGGGTTGACCAGCAAGATGGCTGGAAATCATCCTACTATTTATTAAGTATAATTGTATTTGCTATTATTTCTTTTTCTTTGCATTTTCTGAAGTAAAATTGGGCTGCTTGGAGAAAACACAACACGAGATTTAGAAGTGTGTAGCTATTATATGTGCTGGCATATGCAGGACATAGCAACTTCTACTTCATCCTCTGCTAGGAAAAGATTTTCCTAATAACAAAATAATCACTACAATTCTTCAAATTACTGCACTGTCTTCTGTCATTCAAAATGAAATATGGGCTTTGTACTGCTTATATCTTATTCTCCATGAGTTTTTATTCTATTGGAGGATTTTTGTTTCTTTATTGGGTTGCACTTCTTTAAGCTTGCTCTGTTTTCTCTTCTGTTATGCTGGTCTTTTTTATTTTTTTTTTGTCCTCCCCTTGTTTTGCCCATGATGAGTGGTTTGTCTCTGAATTATTTTTCTGTATTATCAGTAACTGAATGATAGCACTGGCACTCTGCCTCCTTGCCCCAGGGACTGCAGAGCAAACATATTAGTGAGTGATGATACCTCAAAGTGACCTAGTGGTATCTAATTTTAACATGAAATAACAATGTTTAAAGCAAATGCATGGAGGTTGGAAGAGTCCAAAGTCAATAATAAAATGTTATGGAAAATTAAGCAAGAACATCAAATTCGCAATTCATCTTTTTTAAATATAGTAGATGTCAGATCTTCTGTGTTTGGCCACTGGCTAAAGAGGGTCTGATTTAATGTGGGACTCTGTATTCTGCTATATACAGAGAGTCAAGGAGTTGCTAGAGACCAGAAACTCTTTAAGGTAAGTCATTCTGGAACTGAAGACCACGAAGACAGCTTGGCAATAAAGTCCAGCTTTTCAGAACAAAGAAACACATCACCCTGTTGATCGGCTCTAAGACCAGCAAAAATATAAATATAAATAAACAAATAAATGGATGAATATAAATGAATGAATAAAGGTTCTACAACTGCCATTTCCTCAGTCCATACTCTTTGGAATTTTTCTTTTTGTTCATAAAACCCCCAAGCATCTCCCTACCAGACTCAAATCAGACTTCAAGTAGAAGTTTGGCAAGTGACAAGTAGGAAAATCTAGGTAACTAACTACACTAGGGAACAGTATAAGTCCAATAAGCTTGGTGACCTTACTTAATTCTCCTAATGACTCTGAGGGACACTGTGATGCTCAGTTTCTACTGTCAACCTGACACAGTCACCTGGGATGGGCATCTCTGGCAGGGACCACACAGATTACATGAGGCTGTGTACATATCTGTGGGAGACAGTTTCTATTACATTCACAGATGTGACAAGTCCCAGCCTAAAGGCAGACAGCAGCATTCTGGGACTAGACAAAAAGAAGGCAAGCTGAGCTCAAGCACCCACGCCTTCCCTGCTCTCTGTTCCTGGAGATGGATGTGATGTGAGAAGTTCTCTAAGGCTGCTGCCTTTGTGACTTTGCAGCTATGATGGACTACAGCCTGGAACCACGAGTTAAAATAAGCCTTTCTCCCCTAAGTCGCCTGAATCAAGGTATTTTTATCACGGCATCAGGAAAGGAAACTCTGGCGTGCACCTTAATACTGCTTTCACAGATGAGGAAACTCGGTCTCCATGAGTAGCTAAGTACTGTGTTTTGGCCATGACCAGCCACACTAGCAGAGGAAGACTGTCACCCCACTGCAATCCCAGCATTCTTCCTGTGAAACCACTCAGTATCAAATGGAATAAACACACAACTCCATCCAGAAATTTTTTTCATACAGAGCAAAATATACACTCACTGGAAGGAAGAAATGTTGAAATTTCACACAGAGACATTCCATAAGCTCTGGTGATATGAATGATAATTCTGTGCCAGAGTAACCTGACTCAGTCACATAAGGTCTTGCTGGCATCATGCCCCACAACATTCCTCCACACACAGCTTCATGACTGGACATTCACTTCCCATCACACCAGCCCAGGAAGCAGAGGATTTCCATTCTTCCCTAAGACATAAACTCTCTTTTGAAGATAATGAAACTGAGGTGCAGAAAATCTCAGCGTAACATCTAGAGGCAAAGAGTTCTAAAAACCTAGTGTCCAGATAGCCAATTAAAATGAGATTGAGAGGGTTCTCTTTCCAGAATATTAATCTAGGGTGAGGTAATGGCTCAGTAAGTAAGTAATTGTCATGTAAGCATGAGAACCCACGTTCAATCCCCAGAACTCATGTGTTAAAAAAAAATCAGGGATAGTGGTATATACATATAATATCAAACCCTGGAGTGATAAAAACAGGTGGATCACTGTGGCTCAGTGGCCAGCCTGACTAGTCTACTCAGTGAGCTCCAGCCCAAGGAGAGGTGCTGTCTCAAAAAACAATAGCTGATTGCAGCCCAGATATGGGAAGGAGAGCCTGGGCCCTCCCCCAAATGATGTGATGGACTTTGATGATCCCCGTAGAGGGTCTCACTATCCCTGGGGAGTGGGCGGTGGGTTGGGGTTCGGTGGGAAGCATGGGAGGGTGGGAAGGCAAGGGAATGTGGGGAAGGATATGTAAATAAGAGTGTTTCTAAAAAGGAAAAAGGGGGGCTGCTGGAATCCAGTTGCAGAAGAGGAGGAGTGATGAGCAAAGGGGTCAAGACAAGGCTGGAGAAACCCACAGAAACAGCTGGCCTGAACAAGGGGGTGCTAATGGACCCCAGACTGATGGCTGGGAAAACAGGATAGGACTGATCCAGGCCCCCTAAACGAGGATGTCAGTTTGGAGGTCTGGTTAATCTATGGGGCCTCTGGGGTAGATCAGTATTGATTTTGGGAGCCCTATCCACCTAGAGTGGTACTCTCTCAACCTAGACACTCGGGGTAGGATCTAAACCCAGCTCCAAACAATATGCTAGACTTTGAAGATGCCCCATGGAAGGCCTCATCCTCCCAGGGGAGCAGAAAAAGGATGGAATAGGGGGCCAGTGGGGGCAGGGGAGGAGGGGAGGGAGAGGGAACTGGGATTGACATGTAAAAGAAGCTTGTTTCTAATTTAAATTTAAAAAGGGAAAAAATATTAAAGTGATCAGCGATCAAAGAGAAAAAAAAAGAGGTGGTTTCTGAGAAATGAAACCAAGGTTGACCTCTAACCTCCAAAGGAACATAAACACATGCATGCATGCTCAGAAGCACACACAGCCATCCGTCCACATGTATGCATATGAACCCACACATATATCTACAAAAATGCTAATTATGCTAGGAAGTTAAAAAATTAAAATATTTATGCACATTAAATATGATCTTAGCTGTAACAAAAAATGGAGGCTAAAAGAAAAGCACAAAGTAGAAGACTGGCAAATACATCTGGAAGAAAATATTCCAAAATAGGAATAAAAACCATAACCAGAGATGGGCATTATTTCTTAGCGCTACTTTCCTTACTATTTGTCAAATTTTTCACAAATGGCTCATTTCATGACAGAACTCTAATAACAAGTGCTATGGAGGCTATTCAACCACGCTTATCCTAGTAGGCATCTGAATGGAAGGACATTCGCGAACAGGAAGAGGAAGTGGAATGGCATACTCACCCACCAGCTGCGGGAGAGAAGATGCCTCCAGGTCAAGCATGATGGATCCTTTCTCCATACAGGTCCTCAGCTCAAACAAGCTGTGCAGGGACAGCGTGGCCACATGGGGTTTGCTCCATCGTTCCCCACCCTGCTCCACTTTTTCTTCAAACTTAATCCACCTAGGAAGAGAGATTAGTGAGACAGAACTGCAACCTCCTTGAAGGCAATGCCAACCCCTGCCCATGCCCCGGACCAGCACTTCCATAATGTCTCCTCTTGTGCAGTCTTAACAGTTTATTATGTTGTCACCTCTGTCGTCTCCAGAAATACATATAGTCACATGACCCTCCTTTTCTTAAGAAAAAGTGAACCAAAAAAAGTCAAAGCACCCCCCACCCCTGTGTAATCATAAAATCCCTAGTAATGGTTAAATAGGTGGCCATTACATGAGAAAAGAAAAAGAACATACATCTCAAAATTTCTCATGTAGGGCGATCCTGTGATTACAAAGTTAGCACCACTGAGGACATTCTGTTGGGACCTTACAAGATAGGTTTGTGTAAAATGAAGGAGCAACAATGAACCAGTATTTATCTTGAATGGAAAATGTTCAGTTGTTGGTGCTTAACAAGGACTATGTTTTGCCATATCTTCATTGGATGTCCCTGTCTCAGCTGGCTTATGTCACTCTCACTGAGATGCCAATAGTGATTTCTACCCTTGAATCCAGGCTCCACATGTTTAAAATGAGCAAGGCCAGTGGACCACAGACTCACTGTGATGACAATACATCCTCTAGTGACCTTTGCACTGGGACAAACAGCCCTCATCCACAGCTTCTGCTTTCTAAGATAAGTCGACATTTTGAAACAGAGAAAGCAAAGACATTTGTTTTTAAGTTTGAGGAAAAAAAGAACACATTTGGAAGCCTTTATAATACATGTATCATATCACACAGACTCTCTCCTAAGCAGCTAAAGGAAATAGGATGCCTCATTACTGCAATCACCAGCATTCTTCTGCCTTTCCCATTGAACCTCTGAAGGATGTTGGAATGAGGATGATGGGGTTAAATTTTGTTTTCCTACATTTTTGACCCAAGGGTTTAATGATTGAAAAACATTTTCCTAGAATAAGCTAAACACTCACCTAACTTGCTGCAGACGAGAACAAAGGGCAGGGGTCAGAGGAAGCTCTACAGAAGGTATTATTTATAGAACTCTTGACAACCCACAGAGAGGGGGAAGAAACTCACTAAGAGGACTACAAGTGAAACAGATTAAGAGATCATTCACTGTGTTGAAGAAGAGTTTAGGATTTTTAATCACACCCAACACTCATCTGACTCAGAAGTATTTTACCAGAGCCCACCACACTCCTCCCAGGAAGCTTCTCAGAGCCAGGCAACCCTCCATGTCAATGGTAACTTCTGTCTCCACCCTCTCAGCTGTCAAAGTCTCCAATACTCTGTAAAACTCCTTTTGGTAGATATTACACCACCCAAAACAACAAGTGGCCTTGACGTTTAAATGTTTGCCTTTTTATCTCTAGAGTTTAAAAGCCACTTGGGATTGGTCAACTCCAAATACATACACATGTGAGCAAAGCTAAGTGGATAATGTATACAGAAAAAGACCATGAAGTTGAGAGGGAGTAGAGGGAGATATTGGAAAAGTTGGAGGGAGAAAGAAGATGGGTATAAATGAGGAAAATATAGTACTTGGGTATGAAATTCTCAAAATAATAAGAAAATTTAAAATTCAGCAGCACCACCAAAGAGATTCTAAATCTTCAAATATGGACACAGTTTATTTCTATAGAAGTAGTTGAAACATATTCCAAAACAGAATGAGAAACATCTATTATGCCCCTCTCCATGTGTATATGTGTTTGAAATGACATTTTCTTCCTCTTTGGTTGGAATTATTTCCAGAAACATAGAAGGAGCTGGGAAAAAATGAGAATTTTGCATCACACATTTACAGTATTTTATGACTATAACAAAAATAATAATAAGCAATTAAGGTAACTGGGTCACTTCAAAAATAATCATATAATTATTATGATGCTGTTAACTTTGAGTAACATCTTTTCTTGCTTGCTCTAAAATCTTTAAACATGTTGTGGTAGATGTCATGTGAACCATTTTATCTTATGTCTTAATTTTTAGTTTAGGATCAGACTCCAGAAGGTAGAAGTGTTCATAGTGTGTATACATGTATATCAAGTCAGTGCTACCTAGAAATACGCCATCTATAGAAAACACAGCTAGTACATAATTTGTACTCCTGAGTATTCTCACTAGCTAAGAGAATCTTTGATCACAGAATTTAAGCCCAAGAAATATGGCATAGGTTTACTAGGAACTGTAGTGCAATGCTTCAAACAGGCTTCATTTCCCCCTTATCTTTCTTAACTGAGTCCCCATCCATCGGTTGCTAACAATCTGCATTGCTAACCTTATACCCTGAAAGAGAACTAAGCATGACTTGTCTGTAGCAGTTTTCTGCCATTACCTGAAACAGCATGATTGTTAAGTTCTTTAAAATGTTGAAATCTTGGAGACTGAGAATTCCTTTTTGTTTCATTTGGGTGAGCTGTGGTGTGGTGTGGTGTGGTGTGGTATTTGAATCTTCTAAAATTCTTATGTTGGGCTAATGAAATGACTCAGCAGGTAAAAGCACTTCCTATGCTAGCCTGACAACTTGAATTTGATCCCATAGGACCCTTGGTGGAAGGAGAAAACTAACTCCCAAAAAATATCCCCTGACTTCACACACACACACACACACACAAAAAAAAAATATATACATATATATACATACATATATAATATAAATAAAATTTTTAATTATATGTTAAAATTTTGAGTATTTGGTTTTGAGAGAGGTTTTTCTTATTGGGTTGGGTTTTTAAGACATTCTTACTCCACAATCCAGGCTAGCCTTGAACTCATGGCAGGCATCCTGCCTCAGTTTCCCAAGGTCTAAGATTATGGGTAGAGCCACCTCCCCCAGTTTTTATGCTGAAATTCTAGAGCCCAGGGAGAAGACTTTTGCAACTAGAATGTGCTATCAAGAGCACATGGGCCCATCACACACCAAATCTGCAAAGCCCTTAATCTTAAACTTCCTACACTGCAAAACAATGAGGACTAAGTTTCTATGATGTGTAAGATATTTAGTTTACAGCATTCTGTCACTGAAGCCTGAATAGGCTAAGATACTCCTCAATTAACTAAGCAATAGAATCTTGATAAAACTTTTCAAAAACGAGCAAATCCACTGACTCTCCCCTGGCCTGTCTTTTATTTATTCCTCTCTGAAGCTTACAATTGTAGCTAACTTCCTGACTTAAAGCAGAAATCATAGTAAATTCCTCAAGAGCAATGAGAAATCATAAATTCCAGCTAGGCTGGACTTTCAGAAGAGCACCAGTCACCTCAACGAATCACACAGACCTGCAGGTCAAGATTACCACAAGGAAAGGAAGTAAAACCTCATAACTAGTCCACTATTTACAGTTCTATTCCTAAGGGACATATACAATCTCATGGCTCATTTTAGCATTTACTTCCATAAATATTGAATACTGTGATAACAGCGTAACACACAGCTAATAGCATATGGGAATTGGTGCAATGCCTATCAAACAAATCTACTGCTCTAATTGTTCAAGGGATGGTTATACCAATTTGTCCATTTAAATTGGTTATAGTTAGTTTCGTCCCAGAAAGGGTGCATGCTCTGTCTATCTGCCTCTCACATCAAGGACAAACTTGAAAAACAAAGAGTCAACACTCCTCAATTCAAATCAACATCCATTAAAAAGAAGGCTGAGACAGAGAGACCAAAGTTCAGACTATCCAAGTACCAGACATTTTGCAAAGGTGCTTTAGACCCATGTAATTATGTTTTTAAAAACCAGACACTTTTACTGAAAGCCACCATCTACCCTCCACAATCACTATGAATAGCCACATAGTTGTAATGGGTTTCTGTCTCCCCCCTCCTCTTGTTTCAGTACATGACACGCTACAGGAAAATTAATTTTAGAAGTTGGCTTTTTAAATGCATGCAATTACAAAACTGTTGTACCCTTGGAGGAGCAGTTTATGAGGTGAATTTTATTTATTCCAAGGTCTTAGAAGAATAATGATAAAGTGCTCTGCAGTGTAATATACTTTGAGTGGCTGCCAACCAAAGAGCGTTTCACTCGTCTGTTGAAGAAACAGAAAGCCCACTGGGAATCACTGAGTTTTGCAACTTTCCAATCATATGATTAAATATAATTAAGTAAAGACAAGACCTCTAACTTTAAAACCTGCCAGTTTCACGGTGGAAAATCCTCATGACCTTTGCACTAGAATATAATCCAACTGTGTAAAACTACTGATATAATAATGAATTTCTTGCTAATTAAAAAAGTGCTTCATCACACATAAAAAAAGTCAATGCTAGTATATAGCTGGGATAAATGCTATTTTAGGAGAATTCATAAATTTCCAGATCAACTGTAGAAAGTATCACCTATAATTATCTAAATACAATGACATCTAATTACATATGTAATTAGATTCCCCAAATCTTCTTACAGAAAATAAATAAATAAATTCAGTCCAACAAGGATTTTTCTCAGAGTCATCTGCTATAAAAATTCAAAGAACTGTGGGCTATGGAGATGGCAAACTCACAGGATAAGGTACATGCTGCTGGTCTGTGGCCATGACCTTAAAAGAGGTTCCCCAGAGGTGAGCTGGGTCATCGTGCCCAACAGAAACACAAATAAACACTAGTTTGCATTGTGTTCCTGGACATGACACTCCGATGCCCTTTTCCTCTGTTGGCTAATGTTTCTGAGAACTTGTGAGGGTTTTCTTCCTGACCAGGTTTGCCAGTGCAGGTTGGATTACACAGAGGAGGTGATCTTTCACATAGAATCATGCCATATTGGTGATGTTCAGCACTGGCCACTGAAAACGCACTAAGGACAAAGTGAAAATGAGGAGTCACTTTCGAAGAGCTAACCCTAATTCAAATGAAGAAGTGGAAGAAGAGTGAAAAGCCTGTCCCTTCCTCGTGATGTGAGGCCATTCCTCAATCTGTCTACTGTTCACCTGTCAACTGATTCCAATGGGTTCCTGTTTTGTTTTGATTTATGTTCTGTTTTGTTTTATTCTGCTTTGTGACAGGATCTCATTTATTCCAGGCTGGCCTCAAACTCATTATGTAGTCATGAGCCTCCAGTTCTCTTGACTCCACCCCTCCAGTGCTGGGATGGTAGTTGCAGGCCACCAAGGCCAGCTTCACGGATTTTCGGTGAGGGGTACAGGCTTCTTCACCACTTCAAGTGGTTCCATCTTAATTACTGCAGCTATACTCAATGTTGTTTTTTCCAATGACTACACATTGCAAAGGTGCCCTCTAAGAAGGCTAACACTGTACCTCCATCAGTCAATCATACTTTTCAAACATGAGAAGTCTACCCTTTGCACAGTCTTCAGCTTGTGCCCTATTTTGGAAAAGCCACTGGAAATTTTAAAGTTCTAGGAAAGACAAAATGGGAGGAAATGTGAAAAGGAAGACATGGAGCTTACGGCCACTTTAAATCCATTAGCAAAGGCTTCTCTTGCTGCTAATGTTTCATAACTACTCTACTTTCTCAGACTCAAAGGGGCCATCTTCTCTAGTCCTGAAAACATTTTCATTATGTGAGGAATAGGACCAACCTAAAATTTCTAAAGTCGGATTCAAATCACAGTAATGCCAAAGCTTACTATAGGATATTCTTATTAAATAAAATCATTAGTCAACTGAAAAGTACAAACCTTAAAGGGGAAAAAAGAATGATATTTGCTCTAGGCCTGCACTAGAAACTACAGCTGGTTTGAAAAGTCTAGATATTTAGCTTTCTTTGAAATAAAACTGTCTATCTGCTATCAGCTCTTGGTGGAATGCATGTAATTCAGCAGGAAGGCCCTTGTTTAGCATGTGTGAGACCCTGCCACACACAGTCCAAAAAAAAAGTGTCTATCAATGGAAATTTTCAAAGGAAAGAAAAAAATGTCAAACATATTTGTCAACCAGAAAAAAAAATCATGCCACATCATCACATATGGAATTGCTCTCTTCTAGGCACTTAATTTGTATTCATTTGGGAGGTTTGGGGCCTTTTAATAGGGGGTTGGACATTTTATTGTGGCTGGAAAATGCACATCACAAATGGAAGTCAAACATCACTACAGAAACATTTTGACGGAGTGTGTGTCACAAGAAGTACAGATTACGGGAGATCTAAATATTCCCAGAAGCATAATCACTGCCAAAGCTCTCCATAGAATTCAGATGGGACAGCACACTCAGAACCAAGATTTCAATTCTCTACACACCCTGTTCCGTGAGTATGGCTATGAGGCAGGGAGTTCTGGGCATAAGGAGCAGGGTGCGGAACAAGAAAGTGAAAATCCCTGCCATCTCAGAGATTTAACTCCATTAGGAAGACATAATAGCAAGGTAGATAATACACTAAGTGACAATGAGTGCAAAGGTCAAAAATATAAGGGAGGACCTGGGACAGGAGGTATAGGCAAATGTTTTAACTCAAAAGTCAGGTAATATATGAGTAACAGCCTGAAAGAGGTAAGCAAGTGTGCCATGTAGATAACTGAGGGGACACAGGCACAAGGTGGTGCCAAGTACAGAGTCCCTCAGAGAATAGTACAATTGGCCACTAGGGCTCCACGAGGCTGAACTACAGGAAAAGAGACAGAAGGCTATTCGAGTACCTTGGGATAGATAGTTTATAAGCAAAATAAAGGCAGGTATAAGGAGACCAGCTAATTGGAGGGTTTCGCAGAGCTGGAACCAGGCCTGAAGCAGGAAATGTGATGAGATACTAAAATATCTGAGTATTTCATAGAGTGAAATCAAATGTGTCAATTGATCAGAAAACAGGTGTAATCGAGGTGGGAGATAGGAAGACTCTGGTGTCCTGGCTGAAGTATTCAAGAGAATGAAATCGTGTACTGAGATGGAGAAATATGTAGGAGGAGCAGATTTGGATGTAATAACATTATGACTGCTAATAGCCCTCCAATTACTCAATGCCAATTAAATAAGGAAGGAAGTCTAGAGATATAAATGCAGATGCCATCAGTATATTGAGAAATCTCATGAGCTTTGAAGCACAGGGCCTCCCCTGAGCTTTAGGATGGATGTACTGGGTACTCTGTCAGACCACAGCAGAAGGGATGATAACTAATTTTCTATTAAAATACAATTACATACAAGTATGGAAATGTCATAATGAGTACTATTAATTTGTATGTTAACTAAAACACTCAAAAGAATAGTTATTTTTAAAGCAATTCATTCTCCACCGGTTAAATATTCAACACATATTTATGAGCAGATTCTATGAGCAGGCACTTCAAAGCTAGTAGAATGCTATAGTAAGCAGGACAAGATGATCTCTGACTTTGAATGAATTCATGTAATAAGGAAAGCAATATCAGAAATGCAATTAGAAATAGTCATAATGATCCTAAATAGAAGAAGTTATCCGAAGTTTCTCTAGAATTACATCACCAAAATACATAGCTTGCCTAAAATATACTTTAAAGGAGGTAAAGAATGTTTGGCCATCTTGGTTTTCAGATTCCCATATGACCAAGCATCATAACTCAATCCTGTAATCTCAGTACTGAATAGTCTGGGGCAGGAGAATCACCATGAGTTCAAAACAAGTCTGGGCTACAGAGGATACCTGGTATCCTCCCTGAACCAAAATGAACCAAAAATAGAAACATTATAACTATTTCATTCAACACTGAGTTGCCTACACAGTGAAATGTGTTTTTTCACATTGCTGAGATCAAGGGTCATGTAAATTAATGGGTATCCAACATTTGACAAGAAACAAAGAACAAAGCCATTCCTGTGCTCTCGTCAATGATAACTATTAACAAATAGTTCAACATGAAAAGGCCAAAAGCTACGTAAGAGGTACTCCCGATTAAACCAACATACACAGAAGAAGGAACTTTTAGAACAAGAAAATAGAGAAGAGGAAATCTTGGAAGACCCTCTCTTGACATACTAGGAAACTAAGGCTCAAGAAGACTACCATCTATACTGAGCTAACTAATGAACAGCAAAGCCAACAGTAGACTAAGACTCCTCAAGTAGTAAGAGCATGGGCCTCACTCCACAAAGAAAGAAAGGAACAAATGGAAAATGCTAATAAGAAACAGCCTTTGCTCCAGTATCCTACTTTTGGGAGATGCTTTATAGACTTGAGGTGCATCCTGTTAGTACACATTACAGGAGATTCAATCTGGAATATGTAAGTAAATATCTATGAAAGTCTCAGCTGTGATTCCTGGAACCTCAGAAACTTGCAAAGCATTGAACAATTTACAAATCAAGTCCACACAAATATTCAAGGTATTATACATATATCACATATTATATCCAAATAGTATATATTTTATAAGTCTGCATGCATAATCACATGTAGTAAGTGCTATTATTCACTCGATGAAGAAACAGGGTCATGTAATAGGACAGAGTATAGAATTAAACTGAGGTATCTAACTTCTAAATTCAGATAAACTTTCCACTTGATTTTAGCTGAAAATTTAGAAGATAATGGAGCTTTGGCTTGAAATTACACCATCTTTGTCTTAGAGCTACGATTTTCTCCCCAGAACCACTTCTGTTTTGGAATAGGCAGCATCCCAGAGGATAACACAAGATATGATCGCATGTAGAGATATATCTTGGCCACAGCCTTGGGGTGATAGAGTTTATTATCACCCTTATGTTTTACCATTAAATAGCCTACGAATTAAGATTGACTTCTCTGTCAACAAAAGTCAAATCCTTACAGGCCTGATTAATAAAATATGCTCCAGAAGTGAACAGGAGGTATCCTGCATCCACATTAATGTCCGATGACAGAAGAAACAGAACTACCCATTTTCTAGCCCAGTGTCACACCATCAACCACCTGATGCTAAGGCCAGAGAAGGCAGCACTCATCCATTTGCCCTACACTTGCTTCCCCAGGCCAGCCCTGCATTCCATCAGCCATGTCTCACCTCGCTGTCTCCTTCCATTCCATCTCCTGTCCATCCACAGCCAGCAGCTCATCGAGTTCAGTGAAGAGCTGAGGCGGCGCGGGACTGTCATCTTCCTCTCCCAAGATGAATCGGATGCGTTCTGCGGCAGGAGAGACTGCAGAAGTGAAAATACTGCGGTTAAACATTGGCTGGAAAACCCTGAGGAAAGTGTAGCTTCGAGTTCTTCCTCTCTCCCCAAGATTATTGGGCTTCCCTTCCACAATTTCAATGGACATCCTTTATCTTCAACTCAAAGCCAAAGAGGAATCAAAGGCTCTCTCTACTCCTGTGAGCCAAACTATATCTCAGTTCTCCACCCTTTCCAAAAGGGCAGCGGTCTAGTCTTGTATGGTTTATGAGAAAGAACCTTGAGCCCTCAAATGAGCTGAGGCCCAACCTCATGACTTCCCCTCCTCCTCACTTATGACCTATCCAAAATTATGAGACAGAAATCAGTCTGAACCAATCACTTCTCCAAGTAGCAGTGGGAGGGATGACAGAGTACCCCAATCCTGAGATTCCTTAGGTCAACCACCTGCCCTCCCTCTGCCCACCCAGGTCCCTCGCTGCCTGTGACTGGGTAACCGTAAAGCTGATGAAGGAATATTTAACAAGATGGGTCTCTTCTTTACTTAATGGCAGTATCCAAAAATGTTTAGTCACACTTGACTGCACTTGAAAAACAAGTCCAAGTAAAATATTGTACACCTGAGGTAGGGGAGGAAAAAGAACATTTTCCAACACACTTAAGCACATAATTGAATGGCCTACTAGCTCCTTTTGACCCCATCTCCTGAAATCACGCAATGAAAAATTAACTAGAATTTCATTCGGATTATGGGTTATTCTCTTTAAAGAGAGGAGCTAACACTTGGAGGTCACATCACAAAACTAAGGTTTATGTATACTTCCATATGCCTTAATAAAACCAAGAATGTCAAATCCATGAGAAAGCAAACCTGATATATATTATAAATAGATGATTGCATATATACATATAAACATGCAGAATATATATGTCAAACAACCTAGGAAAACATGTAAATCCCTACCATCTGAAATCTATAGAAATGCAGGACAGACTAAGATAGTTCCGACCAAAATATAATTACTAAAAGAAAAATTCACAAGTAGTCAATTCAGTAATAAAAGCTAATTATTAAATAAAATACATTCTTTATCTATTAAAATGGAAATGATGGAAAAAGAATGACCTTGATCAGTATTTACGAGTCATGCACTCATATCCCCAGAATCTCATGAACAAAGTACTCTCTAAATGGAAATTTAGAATTATATAAAAATGTTTTGAAAGCATATTTTTATAATCCAGGAGTTCTTCTACTAAAATTACAGTCATTTAAAAATATAAGTTACTTCAAATATTTTAATATAAAATTGATTGTATTGTTTACAATTGAGAAAAATTTAAATCCTAAATATGAAGAAAAGAAGATCAGTTAAATAAAGCATGATACAAACATACAACAAAACACCATGTAGGCATCAGCTATGACGCGGAAGGGGCTGGAGACATGACTCAAGTACAGAGTTCTTGCTTAGCATGCTCGGGATCCCCATTTCAATTCCTTTGCATTAGAAAAAAAAAAAGTAGGCAGGGAGATGGTTCAGTGGCTCAAGTTTTTGCTGCGCAAGCTTAAAGAACTGAGTTTGAATCTCCAACTCCCATATAAAAAGATGGGTGTGGTAGCACACATCTGTAACTCCAGTGCTGGTATGGGAAGACAGGCAAATACTAGGGGTGTGGGGTGGGGGGGGGGTGTTCTGACCAGTCAGTCTACACAAAACAGAAAGTCCAGGGTTTAGTGAAACACCATGTTTCACTAAATAGGATGGAGAAGCAGAGTAACACCTTTAATCCCAGCACTGGGGAGGCAAAGGCAAGCAGACCTCTGAGTTCAAGGACAGCCTCATCTACACAGAAAGTTCCAAGACAGTCAAGGCTACACAGAGAAACCCTGTCTTGGAAAAAAAAAAGGAAAGGAGGGAGGAAGGGAGGGAGGGACAGAGGGACGGAGGGAAGGAGGGAAGACTGACAAGCAGTTGAGGAAGGCAACTTGACATCAGCCTCTCATCTCTACACACATCTCCATGAATGAGGGCACACTCACATACATGCACCTGTGTGTTCAGAAATATATATATGTATATACATATATATAGACATATATATATGTATATATATATACCCACACACAAAAAGAAAAGAGAAGAGAGTGAAAGTAAAGTATTCATGTATGGGATTTCCATGCAAATACCATTGAATAAAACATGAAGCAAAATTGCTAACTTATGGCATATAAACCACATAAAATTAAATGAGAAAAGCAATCACAGGCATAAACTGGTCCTACTTTAGTATTGTTTTAAGTGTATGTTACAAGAGAAAGTCTAAGATTTAGGCAGCTCAATTTTGCTCATGCCCACATGCATGTTATTAAAGTTTTCACCGTCTAGTTAAATGACACTAGTCCCTCAACAGTACAGTTTGCATTTCAGTTAACACAGTATATCCACTTGTTCTTGCATTAAGTATAAACCTTGCTGCTAGCTCTTTGGTCCATGAATCACTACATAACTAGCAAATGGGAGTTTTGATCACTAGTCAATCCCATTATTTCTTTAGTCTATCAGTGACTGGCCACTGAACACTCATGATTCAGTTCACACACCAACATCAAAGTGTGTGGTCTTCACATCTCCTCAGGAGAAATCCACTTGACCCAGATAATCCACAAAAGGGAACTGGTCAACCAATATGAAAGTGAAGCACACAAACAAAAGATGGTGGCATCAGAAGAAAACTCTGAACCAAAGGAAATGCGTGTATAGAGACATTCAGGTCAATGGAATGCTGACATGCTTTCACTCACCATGTGGGGGAACTTCAGATGCACCCGGGAACTTAGTGAAGGCAAGCTCATTAACACACATGAGTATAGTTGTAATAAAACAACGACCCTGCCTTAATGAAAATCAGGAGGCCTTCTCTTGCCACACAAAGCAGGAAAAACAAAAAACAACAGATGCTGATCCAAACTTAGAGAACATTCCAATGGTCACCAGGAGAAAAGAACAGACTTTCTGGTCCATAAGACACAGCATTGTGAGAAGGTAAGTATTATTCACTAACCCAGTAAGATGTTATGAAGAAACAACCCACTACATTCTTGATGCTTCTAATGTTTTAAATTATTACAGACTAAGTAAATACTAGCTTGCCCTTCCAATTTTCCAGTACTCTTCGAGTTAACATCAAGAGATCTTAATGATTTGAAAATGTTTTAGGAAAAACGAGACTTTCCCATAGATGTTGAGGGTACCTTGAGCTCATTCAAGCTTGTCTGGTCACTGTTTTCATTAGTGCAACACCAGGTCATTGGACAAGTACTGCATCGATCTACAGGCACATTTTCACTTAACAAGTATACTTTAAACATTACGGGGTTTATTTCTAGCACTGTTTTCTTCCATTTACTTTTTCTAAATCATGAAGTATCTATTACTATTCATGCATTCATTCAGCTACTGTTTACTAAGCACTGTCTGCACTCTTAAGTGGGCTTAGCTTCAGGCTCTACATAGTAAACAGAACTCTGACAGAAAGATCCCTGTTCTCATCATGCAAGTAGAGGAAATAGACATCAACTAAGAGACTGATTAATTTTTTAAGTAAATCAATAAGTTCACACATGAACGGAGAAAAGAAATATTTGTTAAGTGTGTTCGCAAATCATTAAATTAAGGCAATTGAATGCATAGTGAGGCACAGTACAATGACTTAGTTTTACTTCTATAATTAGAACAAAATAGCTTTGAATTTTCTCAATGTCTCAAGAAGAAAATATATAAAGCCTTGGGACTTTTGTGTAAAATATTTACGATGCCTTTCTAATCACAAAATTAGAGGAGACACTGTAATAGGACATCCAAGGAGGCATGATAATGAAATGATGGGAAGAACTCGGGGGTGTGAACAGTGTTTCTGGGGACCAAGATGGTCACATTACTAAAAGTTTGGTCATCTTAATCAGCACGCTGCTTTCAGAACTGGAGTTCACAAGTGTGGACCACTTGTTACCATCATTTTACATCAGAGACCCCAAAGGCAGCTGAGAGTAGTGGTGCACACCTTTAATGCCAGCACTAGGAGGCAGAGGCAGGTGAATCTCTGTGAGTTTGAGGCCTGCCTGGTCTACAGAGTGATTCACAGGCCAGCCAGAGCTGCATAGTGATATATTGTCTCAAAAAAAAAAAATAGTGAGGAGCATGCAGGAAGGGAAGTCTAGATTTAAATAATCAACTGACTTTTTGTACCTTCCTAGAAATGTGAGGTAGACTTGTCCAGACTTCTAGCACAGAATAATAAAGTGTGTGTGTGTGTGTGTGTGTGTGTGTGTGTGTGTGTGTGTGTACGTGTGTGTGAGTCTCCTGCACTGAGGGTCACGTTCCTATATGGCAATCATCCACAGAACACCACTCTCTGGTCTGGCATTGCCAGCATAGGAAAACACCAATCTTTCACTGAGGCTTCGGCAGAACGGATGGAAGACTGTCACATCCCCCCACATTAGTCTCTAGGTGCCATGCCTAGATTAACTTATTTGTTAAGTACAGACCTGCGAACAGCCAGGAGATAACCCTTTGGGGAGCAAAATCCCAAAATCCCGTGTCATGAAGTAGCATGTTGGAATAAGGAATGAAAACAGGAGACAGCACCGCACTGAGAGTCCAGACTCTGGAACCAGACTGCATGCATTAGCACGGCACACATCTCAGCCCTGAGACCTGACCCATGTTAATTAACCCCTTGTTTTTCAAATTCCTCACTTGCAACACGGGAGGACAGTGGTGAATATAGGGCCAAAATTAGTCTTGACACTTGCCAATGTGACTTGTAAAAAAACAAACAAACAAAACAAAAAAACACTACCTTATAGTCACGGCTTTCAGAGCCATGGCAAGTTGTAAATATATAAAACAGAAAACAAAACTGCCAAAGGTATGCATGGTTTGCTTCAGTGAATCAAGAGGCTTCGGGAATGAGAGCACAAAGTGTGCCTGCTTTATTGGAAACAACGAGAACAAGGGGGA